TTTCTTTCTTTCTTTTTTTTTTTGAAGGCTGTTTACATTAGCATTTTTCTTTGCACTGTGCATAGTTTTTGTTTTCATAATCTTCATAAAACACTCAGATTTCTTAGGCCATTAACTACTCAAAGTTTAATAAGTGAACAGAAAACTCTTCCTCCTATATTTGAATTGAAGATAGTACAAGAAAGGAAGACTTTTTTTTTTTTTTTTGAGAATTTTTTTTACTATAGGGCACGTGTGCTCACCAGAAAGACACAGAGAGAGAGACATAAAGCGAGAAATCACCCCGCGGGGGGATGGCCACACTGCAATCCCTTCTCCTCCATTCTCCTCTCAGGATCTCAGGCACGCATATACTTGCACCCGGAGTGAGTTTAAGCCACCAGGTCTGGGACGCGAGCCATTGTTGACTACATGGGAGTCCAGCAGAACAGCCATTACACCAACTGCTGGTCCCACTGCTGGTCCCAAGGAAGACAAATTTTAAAGAAATGTTTATTTTTATAATGTTGAGATTAAATTAAAATAAAGTACAGCTTGAAGTTTAGAAAGACAGGAGAATAAGTTCAAGATGATTTTTAAAAGAAAATTGTTAATGGAACTTCGAAATCAACATGCATTTATTTACTGTATATTTATTTGCTTTAGCATCACTGTTCTCATCATCATTATTTTGAGGAGACACAGTTCAAATTGTCTTGCAGTTGAGGACTTCTATATCATTGTGCAGACATGATAGTAAAAGGTAGGAAACTTAAGCTTGATTAACACCTAATATAATTCAGTTCAATGAAAATAGTTGCCTTGTCCTGTAAATGTTTTATTTAGAAATATCAGCCTTTGGTGAAGGACTTCTAGTTCTTTCAGCCTAGGAAGACGGAGAAACAAGGATAAAGCCATAAAATACATTACCAAGATAGCAAGCTATAAATCACTTTATCTTGTAAGTGATACAGTACTTGCTACATAAAAAAAAAAAAAAATCATCTGGCTGTTTTTTGGCTATTTTTTTTTTCTTATAAATAAAGATTATCAGAAAAATACCAACCGGTAGTTTTCCTGGCTCTAAAGAAAACATGTTTTTCATGTCAAGGGGAAAGACAGCCTTGTGTATTTAATTACTTTAGCTTTATTTTGTCCTTTGGCATGATCTGCTCCCTGATTCCACCCTAGTGGAGCTTGCTTTGAAGTTGTAGACAAATTTAATCAACCACTTGGATCACCTGCTGTATCCCAAAGAATGTGGTTTCCCAGGTATGAGCAATCTATCAGTCCCCTACTCTCCTTTCACTTGGCATTTTGACAGTCCAGATTTCTTAGGCAGATACTTTATTTTATGCCTTGCTCACAGCAGCAGCTCTTACTAAGAGTTTCAGAACTGCCTATACTAGGTACACTTTTCATGTTCTAAGGGATTGGCTCATTCATTGATGATCATGCAATTGTTCTTAATTATCCCTACAGGTAAACACACTGCTGTCTTCTTGGAAAACTGAGACATATAAAGAATGTCTATGTACAAGTCCAGCCGTTCCAAGTATCTCTTGCTGGTTTAGACACACCTGTGTTACTTTCCCCCTCTCATTGGCTGAAAAAGTTGCCACACCTGATTTGTAAGTTTACGCATTGTAGTCAGTGGAGGGGGGGGTGTGTGTGCGGAATTCAACCAGCCAACGCTGGATTTAAACTAGCTAGAAGTTGCAAAGCAGCTCTTATTTGAAAAACTACTGGGTTCTGAGTTCATTCCTCCAGGAAAGTTGCTGTTTCCTAGAGCACAGAAAATCTTGCTTCAGAGCAGCTCTACCAGCTCAGGATTCCAGTTGGTTAAAATCTGTCCCAGAGGATAATGGCAGCCTACGTTTTGCAAATCGCTGGACTGGTGCTTGGTGGTATTGGCATGGTGGGCACAATAGCTGTCACCATCATGCCTCAGTGGAGAGTGTCGGCCTTCATTGGAAGCAACATCGTGGTTTTTGAAAACATGTGGGAAGGATTGTGGATGAATTGCATGAGGCACGCTAACATCAGGATGCAGTGCAAAATCTACGACTCCCTTTTGGCTCTTTCTCCAGACCTACAGGCATCCAGAGGACTTATGTGTGCTGCTTGTGTACTGTCCTTCTTGGCTTTTATGGCAGCCATCCTTGGCATGAAGTGTATCAGCTGCACCGGGGACAATGAGAAGGTGAAGAGTCACATCCTGCTGACGGCTGGAATCATGTTCATCATCACAGGCATTGTGGTGCTCATCCCTGTGAGCTGGGTTGCCAATTCCATCATCAGAGACTTCTACAACCCTATAGTGAATGCAGCCCAGAAACGTGAGCTTGGAGATGCCCTCTACCTAGGTTGGACCACGGCACTGGTACTGATTGCTGGAGGGGCCCTCTTCTGTTGTGTTCACTGCTGCAATGAAGAGAGACGCAGCTACAGATACTCAATACCTTCCCATCGCACCACTCAAAAAAGTTACCACATGGAAAAGAAGTCACCGAGCATATACTCCAAAAGTCAGTACGTGTAATTGTGTTTGTTTTTAAACTTTACCTATAAAGCCATGCAAATGACTAAAATGTCCACTATTTTCTACAAATGGAACCCCAAGGAACATTGATTTGCCATTCTTAACTGCCTAACATTAATTATAGGAATTGTGCATCAGCTATTTATGATTCTAAAAGCTATTTCAGCAGAATGAGATATTACACACACTGGTTTGATTGTTCTAGGAAGTACAGTAATTTGTTTTCTAAAATGCTTCATGCATCTATTCCTTTTATCAGTTACTTCAAAATGACATTGTTAAAGACTGCATTATTTTACAACTGTGATTTCTCTATGACACAGCGTTATTTATGTAAATGTGCGTGACGTTTATATCTCACATAAATAGAGACAGGCTTATTTGGCTCTATTTAAAATGAAATACTTATCCATTACACTGAATAAATAGAACTCAACTATTGCTTTCCCAAGGAATCAGGGATAGGATTGAAGAAGGTTAATATTAATTGTTTGAAAACAGCTTAGGGATTAATGCCCTCTATTTGTAATGAAGGTTAAAATGAAGGTTTTAATCATCAGTGTAAAGAAAACTAAATGGCTTTCTGATATTCATTTTTCAGCCTAGAAGTTAGAAATCTGAATTGCTTTATCCTTTTTCCTCAGAGGCCTTCCTTTTTTCGTATATTCAATTAACATCTTTTAAAAGGCAGATATTTTGTCAAGGGGCTTTGTATTCAAATACTTTTCTAGGACTATACTAAGAAGAAAGGTAAAACTATGAACTAAGAAACATTAAAGATTTGAGGAATGTGAAATTTTATTCCACTTGTTTTTATAGTTGAAGAGAAGAATGCATGTTGACAAATAATTGAATGTGTAAGGAAAATTTTAATAACTATTTGAGTACAACTTTAGGCTTTTATGAATATAATAATAGGTCAAAAAATTATAGGTCTTGGTTTACATTTGCTTACCAAAAAATGTAGATATACATATGTAATCCTTCAAGACCTTCATATACTGCTATGTGTATACCTGAGATAAAACTCATTTCAGTTCTGTCAAAGATCAATTTCCTTCTTGTTCCATTTTGTCCAGTTTTACTAATGTGTACAAATACTATGTCTTTGCATTTCCTCCAAATTCAATTAAACTAATAATGTAATTTCAAAGTTTATATCTACATTTGTCTAGCTTAAATGACTATGTGTTTTATATGCCTATGTCTTTTGTATTAATAAACGGTACCGTTTTGTAATTATTTGACATTCTTTCATTATTCTTTTTTTTTTCTATTTTAAGAATTTGTAAAAGAGTTTTAAGCCTGATATTTTAAGTTTTCTAATTTTACAAAGAATGTCAAGGACATATTTTAAAGTATATTTAAAATTTGTATTTGAGAATATAAAATACCATGATGGGATCTGGAGAAAGTGTATGGAAAACATATATTATGAAGGTATTATGAATGGATTTTAAAATTTTTGCACCAAAATAAACTCATACTTTAATTCCTCTTCTCCATTAATGTTTCTAAGTCCTCTCATATGCCACTTAATAACATTTAATAACCTTCTGCCTGGGACCAGAAGGTAGTATGGTGGTTAAGGTGGCAGACCCTCACATGGCCAATCTCAGGGTTCAAGTCAAAGACCTGGAGGCTTAAAAATCTGCACCAAAATAAACTCATACTTTAATTCCTCTTCTCCATTAATATTTCTAAGTCCTCTCATATGCCACTTAATAACATTTAATAACCTTCTGCCTGGGGACAGAAGGTAGTATGGTGGTTAAGGTGGCAGGCCCCCACATGGCCAATCTCAGGGTTCAATCAAAGAAGTGGAGGTTTAAAAATCACGCTGAATGTGTGTGTGTGTGTGTGTGTGTGTGTGTGCCCAAAATCCCAAGGGGAGAATGGAGGAAAAGGGATTGCAGTGGGACGGTGTGAGCATCTTTCCAGGAGGTGGCATGATTTCTCACTTTCCCTTTTTCTCTCACTGCTTCTCTCTGTCTCTTTCAGGTAAGCACACATGCCTTATGGGGAGGGACCAAAAGAAACAAAACAAAACAATATGCCTTATAATTGGATTTATACACTAATATTTGATTTGGATGACATACTTTTATATCTTAAATTTATTTATTTATTTAAGGTTTTTTTTTTTTTATTTTCTGAGAGAGAGAGAGAGAAAGAGATAGGCATTCCCAACAGTGTTATAACATTATAATCCACCTTCAGCCTCAGTTAGCTAGACTGTAGACATACACATATGTCCCTGGCACAGACAAGAAGGTCAACCAGGGCCTTCCCATATAGGTCCAGTTACAATACTATAGCGCCATCATCTGGTTCATATATTTATTACTTGTTAGGGTAGTCCTATAGATCGAAGTCAATCTTCGTATTATAAATATCATATCCATAATAGCCATGTATTTACGAACTGTTTGTAACTAAATATGTATTTCTACTTCTTATGAATAATAATATTAGTGACTAATATTTTAGGGCACATATTATATGCTACAATCTTCAATGCTTTATATTAATTCTATCATTCAATATTTTATGGGATTGATAATGTTATTAGTTTAATTCACAGACGAGGATATCTCAGAACAATTCATTGATTACTCAATAGAGTCAAAAGAGAAAATAAGAACTATCTGACATGATAGTTCATGTCCTTATCTCCAAGAAGACTGAGTACTTTTTCATTAAGGTCTAGTTTATAGGTGGGTATTTGCATTTGAAAACGATATGCTTTACGATGGCTGGGATAACTTCCAGTTGTTTTTGTTTTGCTTTGTTTTGTTTTCCATACTGGTGATTTCCATATACCTGAGTGCTAATTCATCCCAGGCAATTTAGTCCTTTTATGTCTAACTATTTATAATGGCAAAATAAAGCAAAACTGGGTACCTTGGACAAGAAATTCAGAGGCCTAGTTTTCTACATACCAGTTTATAATTAACCCATTTTTTTAACTTATAAAACTCCCCTGATTGTCCCAAATACATTTTTTTTAATTTTCCTAAAACAGAATTATGACACCACTAGTTTTCCTTATGACATCACCTCCTATATTTCTGAGATTTTTCTCTACTTTTCCACCTTTACTATCATCTCATATCCTTTCTAAAAAGATGAAAAAACCTTCTAGACTCATATTTTGTCTACAGAATTTCCCTTCTCCCACTGTCTTTCACTTTCATCTTACTTCTTTCTACACAAGTCAGGTCCCTTCACGCCCTGCCTATAATCTTTGTAGGGATACCCCATTGTCTAAAAGGTAAAGTTTAAAAAGACAGCATATGATAACTGACAGTAAGGAAAATTATCTTATAATCTGCATGGCAAATTTGATCAAACAGTGTAACATCAGTAAGTAACAAATATAACAATTGGAAAGTTGATGTCTGAAAACTAGAATTAACCCACATGCCAAAGGCCTTCTTAAATATCCTGAAAGAGAGACACTGAGCATTAGAAAATGCTTCCATTGGTGGAAATCTCTGTGCAAGAGTAGGCTTCCTAACGTACTTTCTGGATAACGACCTGTGAAGGAGAGAACATGTGGAGGCAGAGAACGTGACTTTAATTCCTTAGTTCAGAGCTGCTTGACTATGACTTTGGACAAATGATAGAACTCAATTTCCTAATCTATAATTTTCCAATTACTAGGTAGGAAAAACAGGATGCTAGATCCAAGAGTTTTTTTGTCTTAATGAATTTGGAACATTAAAAGTATCATACAAATTAAAAGCGACCAACTTTAGAGTCAAAATGACAAAACCAACCCAAACCCACCATCAATCATCATTGTGAATTTAGGAATGTTCCTTAGCCTCTCTTAGCCTCATTCTCTCATTCATTAACTGAAGATAATGAAGTTATTTATTTATTTATTTATTTTAGATATTTTTGCTATCAGGCGCGTGCACTTGCCAGACAGAGAGATAGAGAGACAGAAAGCGAGAAATCACCCCCTGGGGAGATGGACACGTTGTAATCCCTTCTCCTCCATTCTCCTCTTGGGATCTTGGGCATGCACGCACATGCGCCCGGCATGAGTTTTAAGTCACCGGGTCCTGGACGTGAACCGCCGTCGACTACATGGGAGTCCAGCGACATAGCCATTACACTAACTGCTGGTCCCAAGGTAATGAAGTTTTTACAGGAAGGAAGCATATAACCTATGAAGCAACTAGGCCAATCCTAGAGTCAATAAAGGCTATATCACATTCCTTTTAGTGATGTTTTCCTTAAAATTTCTTGGAGTTGTATGTAAAATATACACATGAATAAAATAAGCAAAAACTTAGAATAAATATTGAAATCATAATTTTTTTATATCAGTTATTTATTGTGGATCCTATTGACAAGTTAATCCTATTGACTTAATTAGTCATAAGGTTCCAGGTTAAAAGAAAGATAAAGGCAGTTTTATAATTTTACAATTAATATCTAAAACAAAAACATTACAACATATACATCTTTTTAGTAAGATTTAGATAATTGATTTATGATATACACATCAAATACTTTCCATTTATTTAGTAATTCTTTTGTCAAAACTTTAATTACTAACATTACTCATAACACTTAAAATGTCCAGATATTTTGGAAATGTTCTGTTCCAGAGTACCTCACCTCTGAACAAATATTTAAGAGCTGTTCAATCTTTTAGATAGTACTTAATATTTATCTCATCACTAGTCAAAAATATCAGTAGGTCTCTTTTAAGTTGAAGGTTTCATTTAAAAAAAAAAACACTTAAAAAATAATGAGTTGATTACTCAAGCTGTTTAAAATATAATGAGTTGAGGGAATCAGCAGTTAGCGTAATGGCTATGTCATTGGACTCCCACGTAGTCGACCAACCGCGGTTTGCATCCCGGAACCGGTGGCTTAAAACTCACGCCAGGCGCGTGTGCGTGCGTGCCCAAGATCCCGAGAGGAGAATGGAGGAGAAGGGATTGC